AAAAGTTTTTTGAAGGCAGATCGGACTTAGCCGCAACCAACAAAACAACTAATTCTAAGTTTTTTGGGTGGGGAGGGGGGTGTGTAGAGTGAGGAGTTAGAGAGAGAGAGAGGAGGGAATGAGGTTTGGTGTGGTGAAAATGGGAGGGGGAAGGGGGTTTATATAGGGACAAAACCGCGTGCTGGAGGGGCGGTTTCGTCCTTTTAATCCACCTAAAACCGCGCCTCCAGCGCGCGGTTTGCGTTCCCCAACAATCAAACCACGCTCGGGGGAGCGGTTTGACTTAGCGACTTGGATCGCTGAGCTGGCGCGCGGTTTGGCCGTCAGATCGCTCCCCCAACGCGGTTGGACAGCCAGGAAGGGTCAAACCGCGCGTTCCACAGGCGGTTTGTCTCTTAACCGCGACTTGGAGGCGCGTTTTGGTTTATAACCACGCCTTCGAGGTGTGTTTTGTGTGGAAGGGTGGTATTTTTGAAAATTGTTGAGTATGGGTGGTATTTTTGTAATTTTTTTATAGTGGTAGTTTTGAATTTTTTCCAAAAATTACGAGAGGGAATGGGTTAGGGTGATTACTTGTTTTTTTGGTAATCATGGTGGCAACCTCTTTATATACCATTAGATTTTATATTTTTCCTTCTTTTTTAATCTTACGGTCAAGATTCTTTTAGGGTAATTTTGGAAATGAAAAAGTGACCACACCCGATTATTCTATATAATCTATCCAAACCCTAGTTCTACCCTCCCTCCAACCAAAGCAGCTGCAACCGCCTCCACCACTCTGACGCACTAATCTTGTCGGCCGCCTCCTCCAGCCCCTCCCCTCGGCCACCCAGACGACTACCCTCGACGAAAACGACACCTATAGCCGCCCACCCCCGATCTTCCGATGTGCTCCTGGCGAAGCCATTGCTGTTGCCGTTGAGCACGTCGTGGCCCAAAGGAAGAAGGAGCATCAGTTGCGGCGGCTGTGGTGGATTTTCTTCTGGGGAGATTCCAATCGTAGACACGATAAAACACTTTTGGAATTGACTGTGGTGGAATTCCAGAGACGCCTGTGGTGGGGATGAGATGGTGATGATCTGGTAATTGTTTTGATTTGGTATTGGTTTGTTGTTTTGTTTTATGAAATGGTATAGTTTGTTTTTCATAATGGTATTGAGTTGATTTCATAATAGTAGTGGTATTGATTGATTTTGGTATTGGTTGACTCTTGTAATGGTATAAATTGTTTGTATTGGTAGTTTTAGTTTAATGATATTGTTTGATTACACAGTAGTAGTGATATTGGTTGTTTTGGTATTTGTTTGACTTTTGCAATGGTATAGATTGTTTATATTGGTAGTTTTCGTGTAATGGTATAAATTTATTTCTGCAATGGTATTAATGTTTTTCAAAATGGTAGTGGTTCTCTAATGGATTGGTAGTGATTTCGTGTTTTTTCTTTTTCAGAAAGATTGAGAAAAATATGAAAAGGAGATCTGGCTGGAGATTACGGAAGTGAGAGAAAGAGAAAAAATTGTAATTAATAAATTTTTGTAACTACCTAAAATGTAATTTATTAAAATTAATTAATTAATATAATTTATTTTTCATACCCAATTTACCCTTAGTAACCACGATGATTACTACAAAGTAGTAATCACCGTAACCGCTCCAATTAGGAGAGTTATAGCACTTAAATAAGAATAGGGCATCACGTGTCACTGAACTCTATCATATGTGCATTTGGTACCACTTAAGTTTACTGCTAAGTGCATTCCGTTAAAGTTGATAGAATATTCTTGGAATATTCCATTTTCTAAATTTCGGAATTGGTCCTTCTACTTTTCTTATTGTAAATTTTTTTTTGGACTTATCAAAAACATCATTTTTTATCGTTTTGTTGGAATCCTCTTTTGAAGACACTAATACCAAACCAATTTTGAATAGAAAATTTAGAATCAATTATCATTATAAGTATTTTCAAATTTCAATTATCATTATATGGTATAATAATTGAATTATTCCCTGAAGCAAATATGTCATATGAGCTTTTGATGGGTGTGCATAATGGGGTTGGAACATGGAAGGGTAGGAAATTGATATCTTAATCTATTCATGAAGTTTGGAACTCATTGAGGCTTGTAAATAATAAGGTAAGCTAGTTCAAGTTGTTGTGGGGAAAGCATCTGATAGCGTCGTATTTGCACATGTTTTTACTCTTGTTTCCTGACCATTTTAGCTCGAATTTGTTGTTCCTTGGCCTATTTTATGCTAGGTTGTGTTGTTTTGTCGTATTTCAGGACCTAGCAAGTAAAGAGTTGTATGGGTGCAAGTTTCGGGTCAGTTGGAGGTCAGTTGGCGATTCAAGATGAAAATTACGGGCAGGCCCTGACCATTCACGGTTGTAATTGCTCCTGCCATGCCCGTAAATGCAATGCCGAGCCTAATTCCCCAGAATTTTGTCGCAGAGTCAATTACGGGCAAGAGTCACAGCAACCACGGTCGTAATTACCTAATTACTGGCAGTAATTGGAAAATTACGATCGTAATTCCCTTCCTCGGAGTTAAGTAAAACGCGCGTTTTGGGCGATTTACGGGCAGACCATGATTACGACCGTAATTCAGCCCGTAATTCGCCCAGAATCGGGTTTTTGAGTCAGATTCAAGCCAAAGGAGAGCGAGTCGACCTTTTGGATCCAAAACAGAGTTTTGGAGAGAGAAAGTGCGAAGAACAAACCCTAGGAGCTATTTGGAGTGGATTTCTCACCATTGAAGCCCAGATTGCATCCCTAGGAGTGAGATTGACATCCCAGAGCAGATTCTTCTCATTGTTATGAGTATGACTGCTTTGTATTTTGTTTCCCTCTCTCTCTCTCTCTATGGAGTAGAACTTTCTCTCACTTGGGTATGAAGAACCCTAGTTCCATGTGTTAGGGATCTTGATTTAATGACTTCGGATTGTTATACTGAATGATTTTAATCGATTGATGCATGATTCATTGAGTCAAGTGAAGTCTGATCATCTTTTCTTGATTTCTGCTGCAATCTGAGATAGATAGAATCTGATTAGGTTGTTAGAGCTTCATCATTCGGTAGTGGTAGAGTAGTTATACGGGAGTTAACCAATCTACTGCTTTGTACTGGAACCCAATTCCAGTAGTGGAGTTCTGTGATCATTGCCTCAGCAGTCTATCCTGGTGAAGGTTAGTCGCTTGCTGGTTAGCCTGCCTGAGAGGGCTTGGTCAGCTTAAGAGATTCCAAGCTACTGTCGGATCTTCCGCAGTTTAATCAACAGTAAATCAACCCAGGGTAATTACAACTGAGACCTAACTAAGGAGCTAGGGGGACTCATTCCCGAGTGACTCTTCCTTTGCTTTAGAAAACCAAACCATTTCCTGCTTTCTTACTGCTTTCATTTAAAACCACAATCAATCAACTTAGTTTGCTAGATAACAGATATACACGGAGTAGGCAGTAGACTAGACCCCGGGTTGACAATTAGAGCTTGCCTGTTACTGCATTTCCGGACTGCGATTAGTGTTTTAGCGTGTCAAGTTTTTGGCGCCGTTGCCGGGGACTTCTAGGTTATTGGAGAAACGTGAAAGTTTGTTACTCTAGCCTTTTCTCACTGCATTTTCTCTCTTCCACCTGTGTGCCTTCACGGGTTGCTTTTGCTGATTGTGTGCAGGTAGTGCATGACCCGTAGCCAGTCAGGAGATTTATTACCATTAGACCAGGAGCTTGAACGGACTTGTAGGAACTTCAAGCGGGCTCTAAAGGAGCGACTGGCTAGCACAGCTACAAATCGCCGACGAAGAAGATATGGTTGACCCACAGGACCATGATGTGGTCATTCCTGAGGAGCAGACCATGGGATACTACTGGACCGCCAGAGCCGCGGACATGAGGTCGCCCATTCAGCACCCTCATGTACCAGCCAACAACTTTGAGGTGAGCACCTCGGTCATCACTATGTTCCCTGGCAAAGCGGGGGAGTGCCCTCGATCACATCTGAGGCGATTCCACGAGCTCATCGATGAAATCAAGATAAATGGGGTCCCAGCCGATGCCATCCAGCTGAGGTACTTCCCATTTACTCTGGAGGGGAAGTCCAAGGAGTGGCTAGACACTCGACCTCCAGGCTCGATCACCACGTTCGCCAACCTACCGGACAAGTTCCTCACTCGCTACAATCCCCCGTCCAAGACGGCGGACCTGCAGAAGCAAATTACCCACTTTGCTCAGGATGAAGATGAGACCATCCGGGATGCTTGGGAGAGATACACCAGTCTCTTCCTCAAGTTTCCCAACCATGGTTTTACCGACGCCTTCAATATGGGCACATTCTACCATGCCCTCTTCCCGGAAGACAAGCAGCTGATTGACTCGGTCTGTGGCGAGAATATGCTCACCAAAACACCGCCACAGCTGAATCAACTTTTTGAAGAGATGGCAGAGCAGGGCTATGATTGGGGAACTGCGAGGAGATCGAGAAGAGCACCAGGGCGGGGTGTGCATGCTGTAGCCACCCAGTCATCTGATTTGGTGCAGGTGGTATCGAAGCTGGTTTCAGCCATCGATCGCTCTGGGTTGAGAGCTCCCATCACACCGTGGAGGACTGTCAGGCGATGAGGGAGTCGTCTACTCCCCAAGAGCAGGTGAACTTCATCAATAATGCTAGGAGCAATGACCCCTGCAGTAACACGTACAACGAGGGGTGGCACCAGCATCCCAACTTCTCCTGGGATGGGGCCAATCCTAGACCACCAGCCTCCCAAAGACCGCCAGGCTTCCAGAGGCCGCCATATCAGCCAAGGCAGGGGTAATTCCCGCAGCAGCAGCAGTCTCTCTACCAGCCCATGCAGGGGCACGCTACTCAACCACAGCCGTGACCTTTCCAGCAGCCAGGTGCAGCCCCTGCAACCCCAGTGCAGAATGATCTGATGGCTGAATTGCGTGACTTGGTGGGTTCTCTTGCCAGTTCTAGTGCTCAGAAATTCAATACTATCGAGCAGTTCATGGAAAAGGCCTCGGGTAAATTCCTGGCTCTTGAAGCTGGCCAGAGGAACACACAGGCTGTCTTGCAGGATATCCAAACCCAGCTAGGGAGTGTGGCTCAAGCAGTGGCGCAGAGGGCTCCAAGTACCTTGCCAGGTCATACCACTCCTAATCCGAAGGACCCGAATGCCCACTGTAATGCCATCACAAGAAGGAGCGGCAAAGAGACTGCAGACCCACCTGTCCTGGCCAGACAAGCGGGAGGTAGACATGCCTCGGCATCTCCAGTGGTTGAAGAAGAAGTGGAGACGGAGGTCGAGGTGCCTGCGCCTAAGCCGCAACTAGTAGTGAAGGATTATATCCCTCAACTCCCATTCCCTACTCGGTTGCACAAAGACAGGCCAGAGTCAGAGTTCGGGAACTTCATGTCCATGCTTAGGAAGCTGAATGTCCAAGTGCCCTTCCTGGAGGCACTATCTCAAATGCCTAACTATACGAAGTTTCCGAGTGATCTTCTCTCAAAGAAGCAGAAGCTGAGCGAGCTAGCCACTGTGGAGCTCAGCGAGGCGTGTTCGGCCATTCTGCAGAACAAGCTTTCGCCGAAGCAGAAGGACCCAGGTAGTTTTACTATCCCGTGCTCTATAGGTAAATTGCATGTGGAGAGGTCCTTGGCGGATCTAGGTGATAGTATCAATGTCATGCCATATAAATTGTTCAAGAAACTAGGCCTAGGTGAACCCCGTGAAACTAGGATGAGTCTTCAATTAGATGACCGATCTATAGTTCACCCTAGGGGCATAGTGGAAGACCTTCTGGTTAAGGTTGGCAGATTCTTTTATCATGTGGATTTTGTTGTCTTGGACATCAATGAGGACACAAAAGTGCCCCTTATACTGGGAAGGCCTTTCCTGGCCACCGCCAAGGCTCTCATAGATATACATGATGGCACCTTAGTCTTGAGGGATGGCGAGGAGCGAATAACCTTTTCCATTGCTAATACTCTCCCTGCTTCATCGCCTATGCATGCTGTTTCTCACCCGGAGCACGAGTCTGTCGTGTATCCTTCTGTGCTTCCCATTTTGCAGAATCCCTCTCACATATCTTCGCCGCCACTCCCATCCACTCCGATACCAAAAGACAAGATCAAGGAGGAGTGGCGGCCGAAGCTGCAGGTAGCTAAGCCTGCTCACCAGAAAACCGGAGACCACTATGAGCTGGTCCCGCCTCCTGAGCCTTGACCGCCTTGGCCATCCGAGTATTCACTCGCTTGCATCCTGCCGGATGGCCAGGTCGAGTTGACGAGTGCTGGTGGCCACATTCGTCGTGTGCATGGCTACCACCTGAAGCTGTACCTCAAGAGCGATGTGGATCCGCTCTTGGAGGCACCTGTTCCTTCACCTCTCTGAGCATCCACCATACTGGAGTCCAGCTAAAAGACAGTAAAGAAGCGCTCGTGGGGAGGCAACCCCACCACGGTTTGCATTTCTGTCCTTTTTCCCTTTTTGTTTTGTCGGTTTTTTAGTCTGTCTGGAGTCTTTCTGGAATGTTATTCGTTCCCTGGATGGTCTTTTTTGTCTATGGTGGTGTCTATTTTCGAGCCGGGGCACGAATGGTTTTGGCTGTTCGAAATTGCGGTTTAAAATTTGGAAAAAAGGGCTCTCGGTAGTGTATTTACGGGCAAGGGGGGACCAATTACGGTCGTAATTTGTCATGCCCCTGCCCGTAGTTAAGACAGAAGAGGAGATTGGTCTCGCCAGTGCAATTACGGGCAGGATCAGACCAATTACGGTTGTAATTCTGCCCGTAATTAGCACAGGGGGCAGTTGGCTCGCTGCGTTGCAATTACGGGCTGCATTGGGACAATTACGGTCGTAATTCTGCCCGTAATTGCCCCTTGACATTTAAATTTTGGGCGACGCCCGTAATCCCTCTCTCTCTCCTCATTTTTTTCTGGTCACTCTCTCTCTCCTTCACCGGAAAATCGCCCTCCCTCCTTCTCAGGTGGTTTCCGGCCATAACTCCCTCACCGGAGCTCCAAATTAAAATCTGAAACCACTCTCGTGCTCCTCTCAACGGCGCGCACAAGCCTATACCAGTGGGGTCGAGTTTGGCGGTGGTTTGGGTCGCCGGAAAACCGCGACTCTTCGGTGTTCCTGGCATCCAGGCCCTCTTTCCCCAAAGTTTTGGGTCAGTTTGGCGGTGGTGAAGTCGCTGGCGACGAAACTCCGGCGAACCTCCCGGCGAGTTTCCCGGCGATTGTTGTTGAGTCCCATTCTTCCCTCAACTTCCCCATGATACCTTCTTGTGCCTCCATGTGTGCTTCTTTATTTTTACTTGTGTATTGTGGAGGATTGATATCACAGGTTTTAGTGAGGGAATTCGATGATTGGGTTGTGCTTAAATGAATTTGGTAGGCCTACGGTATTACATGCTTTGTTTGTTACTCCTTTGGTTGGCCTACCGGGCAGCATGTGGTTGTGATTGTCCCACTTGGAGCCTAATTTGCTATCCGGGTTTATTATCCGAGGGCTCCAAGTGCGTTTAATCTTGTGTGCATGGTAAATGGTTTTGAATGCTTTTCCCTCCCTTGGGAACTAGTCCACTCTCCGAATTTGATGATTCGAGGGCCCCAGGTGCGGATGATTGTGTACTCACCATTGACAAATTTCCATGTATGTTGTTGTGTTTTTGTTGCTTTTTGGCTGCAGGGCCATGAACACTTACCTGAACATGCTCGACGCCGACCAGAGGAAGACTCTGCTGGATATCCGACGCCGCAAAGTCGTTCAGCACCATTACCTCGATTTTGAGATCTTCGAGGAGCTGGGTGCTCGCGAGGCTATGGAGGCTGCCATCCGTGCTTACTCTTGGCGCTGCCTCCTCTGCCTCGCTGAGCCGATTTATAAGGAGCTCCTTTGGGAGTTCTATGCCACCTTCGTGCACTTCCGGACCCACGCGGGCGAGCACAACAATGCCATTCAGTTCCGCCTTGGCGGGGAGTCTTATTCCCTGAGCTATGATGACTTCGGCTGGGCAATGGGGCTCCTTCCACCACTCGCCTGTCACATGGCCATCGAACAGAAGGACTGTCCCATCTTTTGGGACCAGCAATTCTTCGATAGGATCTGCCTCCCGGAGTTCGCAGGCGATGTGTTCACAGCGGGCTACACCACTACTACTCAGCTGCGGCCAGAGTGGCACCTCCTCAACCAGCTGTTGGGGAAATCTTACACCCCCAGCGGCGGCTCCACCAGTCATCTTCAGCTCCCCACTTTGAACTGCCTGCACTCCATCAGCCAGGAGGAAGACAATCTCCATTTGGCCTCTCTCATCGCCAGGACCGTCACCAAGGCTTCTCGCTGTGGTCGTGCTCTGGCTTGTGGTCCGGTGGTCACTGCCCTGGCACGGTACTTCAATATCGACCTCTTCGGGTTCACTGTCATCCTGCCACCGACACCCTTATCCAGGGAAACCCTATGGCTCCAGCTGATACTGCAGCGTGACGGGGACGTGACCTAGATCCGGGGACTTCCTCGCCCTGTTCCTCGTGCACCAGAGGGCGAGGATCCCCCGAGGCAAGCGATGTTGCCGCTCGTCGGACCACACCTTCTGCAGCTGGCGCCTCCACTTCCGCTGCCGGCCCGTCTGCTGCTGCTCCCACCTCCTACATTGCTGAGCAGCTGGCAGCCATTTCTTGCCAGAACGAGCAGATCCTTGCTGGCTAGGAGCACATCAACGCCCCTCTCGACCGTGAGCGCGAAGGTCACCGCCGCATCATTTCGGCTCAGCATTACATGATGAGCTACTGGGACATGGACCCTGCTGCTGTTAGCTACCCTTTGGAGGCTTCCCCGGGGCATGAGGATTTCTACCCACCTCCAGTTGGCGACGGAGGCGATGAGAACTAAGCTGGCTCTGCCTGCTGACCCATCGAGTTGGGCTCTGCATTTGTCTTTCTTTCCAGACTAAGACTTCATATTGTGTTTCCTTTTCTCTTGTCCTGTTTATTTGGATTGTAGACTTGGAACTATGGTTTCTTCCACCCAATGTGTATGTGTTTTGCTGACTCTAGCTCTGTACCCGTTGGACTGGTCCTTGTCCAGTCCTCTGCTATTGACTGGTTCGCCCTCCAATAACCGTTCCTAACCACTGTTTCACGATAACATCGTTCCCCTTCCCTCTGCTCCATTGAGGACACTGTCGCATTTAATTGTGTGTGTGTGGGGGGGGGGGGGGGTTCTTTGTATTCATTGGAACGTATAAATGTGTGCTTGGAGCCTAGTCCGCTGTCCAAATCTCAAGATTTGAGGGCTCCAAGCACTGCTGTTTGCTTGATCATATTGGCACTGTGGTTTTAATTGGTGAATTTAATGGCTTTCGACTTAATGCATGACAACTGGAGTGTAACTAGGACAACCTATAATGATGACTGAGACGTGCAGTAGAATTGTGTAGGGGTTCAGTTTTTCAACTGTTTGCTTACCAACTGTGACTTGGATTAATCACTTGTTCTTGACAGTCGTGTATGCATCTAGTTCAGGGAATCAGAATCAGAGATAGACCATATAGGTAGCTGACTCACTTCTACTGTCACCCTAGGAATTGGCCAAGTGGAACCACTTCCTAAAGCGTAGTATAGCGGGTTTAGGTTTAATTATCAACCCGGGTCCTAGATCTGATGACTACTCAGTGAATTCTTGTTATCTGGCAATGAAACTTTAATGCAAGTCTAAACTAACAAACTAACAAGGCAAGTAAACAGTTGTATTCAGGTTAAGAGAGGTCACCCGGATATGGTTCCCCCTAGACTGCAGTTAAGCCGGATTGTAATTACCAAGTTCAGTTTCTATGAAAGTTATACTGCGGAAGATTCTTAAACAGCCTGAAGTCTCGACTAAAGGTCTTCAGACCCTCTCAATCTGAATCTCTAGCGGGCGACTAACCTCCACCGGAGTAAACAGATTGAGGCCTTAACAAACAAAACCTCCACTACCAGTGTAAATCCGGTACAGAATAGTGAGTTGGCTCCTCGACTAAAGTCACCAACTCCCTAGCTTCAATCAAGGATGCTCTATTAACCTAGTCAGATATTCTCATTCTAGGTTAAAGCAGAAACAACAGGAATTTGATCAAGATTCAAGTCATTCAATCATTCAAACCTCAATCGAATATAATCAAATCATAGAATCAGTACTTGGGTTCATACAATCAAAGCCTAACATACGAATCTAGGGTTCTCCATACCCAGATGAATGGGAGAACTACTCCATGGAGAAAGAAGCAAAAGCAGAATCAGACGCGGAATTCATACTGTGAAGGATGGATTCCTGCTCCTGGATGTTGATGGGCACTTCTCCAAGCTCAAACTGGCCTCCAATGGTGTTGAAGATCAATCTAGGGCACTTGGAGACTCTTGTTCGTCGCTTTCTCTCTCTAGGAATCGTTCTATCTCTCTAAAACTCGAATCCCCTTCTCTTTGGCTGAAAATCTGCTTAAAAAGGCATCACTGGCCAAAGCACGGTCGAGGGCACGGCCGTGCTTTGCCTCAGCCCGCCCGTGCTTTGGCTAGTGTTAATTACACGGCCAGTGCATTGGGAGAAACACGGCCGTGCTTTGGAGAGAACACGACCGTGCTTTGGGAGAACACGGCCGTGCTTTCAGCCCGTGTAATCAGCTCATGTTTGCCAAACTTGAATTAGCTCTTGGCAGTAAAAGCACGGCCACAGAACACGATCGTGTTTTAGAGAGAACACGGGCGTGCTTTGGGAGAACACGGCTGTGTAATGAATTAGGTGTGCCCGTGTTTTGGCTCCACCTCGACGAAATGACTTCCGAATGCCCCGAAACTCGTGCTTAGCCTTTCCTTTGACGCCTGGGACCTGAAATATGAAAAAATAGCACAACGCGGCGTAAAATAGGCCAAAAGTACACGACTATGCCCCTCAAACGGATAAGAACTAGGGGCGCAAATTCGTGCAATTACATCGTTATCAAATTCCCCCACACTTAACCGTTTGCTTGTCCCCAAGCAAACCTAACTCAAACCAATGCAACTCTCCAGACCTCCATAGCAACAAACAACCCAGATCGTAGGTAGAGGACTTCCCCTAGTTCATTTAGCAGCTTACAAGGTCAACCGACGCACAAGTCATCTCATAGCTTCTTCGGCGAGAGCACTAGTATCGAGTCGGCATCATGGCAAATAGTGAATAGAGGACAAATGAATTGTGGATGAAGA